TACATGAAATCATATCAATATGACCTTCAAACAGTTATATTATTCTACAATTTACAAAATGCTCCGAGTCTTTTAAAGAGCAGTAATATATCATTTAAATTTTAAGTTTTCAGTAAAAAAAATCTGCATTAACAGCAGACAGATAAAAATCTACTAAATCATTTGATTATATCAAAGTTCATCGCTTATCAGCTAGAAATATCCAGGGTCGTGCCCTTGTAAAGGCATACCAGTTGATGATAATTATGTTGAAAATAAATACAAAATTCAAGGAAAGAAAAGTCATCTATAAATGTTTTAAATTTAGAGATTCACTGAGTGGAATTTGAGATGATTTTAAAGTATTTAAAATTGAAAAGAGATTAATAAATGTGATTATAATTGATGCTTTACATTTCGCAAGAACGTTCTAGCAAAACAACAGCCAAGAATCTTGCATAAATCTTTTGTATCTGTATGTTACTAACCTTAAGAGGAAAAGGGAAAATAACCTACAAAAGCGATGGTTACGTAACGTAGTTTTGTGCATTCCTATCACGTGAGATTTATAAGCTGGTTTAAAATCTAACAGAAAAACAACCCGAAGCAGAACGACAGTCCCAGGAAGAGGCTAGCTGAACGTTTCGTAATTCTTCTTCCCGCTGTGCAGCCTGGATGATACTAAATCCGATAACAACCAGATATGATAATCACGATATCCACAAGGAGCCAGAGTTTTGAATTTATTATACCAAGGTGACCTTGACTTCAAAAGTTGTATTTTACATTTTGAATATAAGTTTTTACAGGGAATGACGTACATGGTGTATAATTACAACAGCCTCACGCCTTATAAGTACGTCATTTTCAGAGTAAACACTACGAATAAAAAGTTGTTTGTGTTTAAGCGTGAAACGCTGTATCTACTTTGGGTATCGAACACCGATTTTTAGCCTTTAAGCCCTCAAGCATACTGCTGAGCCGCAGGACTTAGCATTAGCAGGAATGTTCAAATATGCTTAATATTATTTATCAACAATAAACAAGTATGCCGCTACGGTTCGCCGCCCGTGATCCAAAACTTCGCTCCTTAATTTGGGGCCGTGATGGTTAAATATAAAAGTGATGGTCAAATTACTTGAGTTGTGTCTTCCTTTTATTCCAAGATTAGGGACGACTATAACCCTTTATGTAGCACGTTCGCAAATGCTTGCTTTATTTTATTTATAAATCATAAGTTACGAAATCTTATAAAATCATAAGAGAGCCTTTCACACAATCAAAAGATCATCAAACTAAATGTAGAGTTTAAGCTAATGGAATCGCATCTTAATTAATGAAATTAATATGAAATTAATTAATATGAAATTAATTCTAATTTCATATAAATTCAGATCCAAATTGATTTAAACCAATATCAACGTGTAAATTTCTGGAAGGAATGCCGTTATACCCCTATCATTCTCGATCTCGAGCCTTCGCCTCAGTGGTAAGCTTGAGAGCTTATAACACTAACATTCAGGGTTCTATCCCTGCAACGAGTACAAAGCATCTAGCTCATTTTGCAGTTTTGTGTTTAAAAGCAAACAGAAATGTATTATTTCTTCTCCATTATATTGAAATATTATATTCTGGGTGATTGTTTATGACAGGATAGACCAAACATGAATTTGTTTAAAAACAGAGTAAAACTTACATTCTTATGAAAAGACATTTTCTTTGCTTTTAATTCATTACTAACGTTATTTTAAATCCTTCATTAAGTGGCATTACACTGTTGAAACAAGTTATAAAAGTGAATTGCTCAAGAATGTATCCCCTTTGCATGTAGATTATTATAACGTTGCTATGAATGTGTTGCTCAACAATGTATCCCCTTTGTTGAACAAGACATTCAAAGCAATGTTGCAATAATCCACATGCAAAGGGGATACATTGTTGAGCAACACATTCATAGCAACGTTATAATAATCTGCATAGAGGGGATACATTGTTGAACAAGACATTCATAGCAACGTTATAATAATATACTTACCATGTGGATTATTGTAACGTTGCTATGAATGTCTTGTTCAAGAATGTTTCTTCTGTTATGTAGCTTATCCAGCACTGGCGGGCGAAGCGAAGCAGAGCTGATTATAAAAACTGGGGTACAGGCGTTCTTCACATATGCGCTCTATATTAATATATACGGTAAGTAAATAGCAAGGAAAACTTTTCTCGTGAGGACGCAATTTCCTGCTAAACAAGTTGATCAATCCAGACTAAACTTGGCAGATCAAATTCATAATCAACTTTCCTATATATTTAAAAATTGTTATATTTTACAGCATAACGCCTATATCATTACTGCGGTAGCTATTCTAAGTAG